ATGTTTAATGTGATATAGCTTACAAGAGATCAATCGATTCACTGCGTATAATTTTGGTATAAATCAACAAAAGATTCATAAGCTTAAACAGCAGATTGCTCCTAGATCTTAGCTCCAGCAATCAAACAGCCTACTCTTATAGCAAACGCATAGACCTCCCGAACATTTACTTCCTGATGACTTCTCTGCTATTAATTCTGAACTCCGGAAGGAACTCCGGTTGTTTATCCGCCGGATAAACATAAAATACATCGCAAATCACGATTAGTACCTATCTGAGTAGAATAATATGATCTATTTAGTGTAGCAGCTCAAGGATAAATCATGTGCTACAATAGTCCATGGTACCAAAAAGGACGGCATAATAAATTTCTCGTCTGCCGGCGATGTAAGGCAGACGTCACAGATGGGTAGTACCACCGGGTAGGAGTTATGATAGAGAGATAGCTCGAATTAGTAGGTAGTCTCCAACAGGTAATTATGATACAAGAACGTCGTATGCCCAGTCTCATGAGCTGTAAAGCGAGTAGTTATACTCTAGGTAAAAGCGAGCAGGAGCTTCCTCCCAACTCATGCGACAGCTCAACGTTACATGAGATAAACCCTGAACTAAACCTATGTGGTAACCAACCCATTACTTGGCCCGTCAACACATATGCTTTACGCTAAGACTAGTATTTGGCAGAGGATGATATTGATCTAGATGTATTCTCTGACCGGCGACATCTTGGTTCTACGGGAGCCAGCCCTCGCCGACGTAGATGCATGCAACGCTGCTCGACGCCAGATCTTGAGCGCCAAATAGGGTACGAAATAAAATCTGAGCCACATTTTGTTGGAAAATATACTCTGTAAAAGATTACATGGATACATATGATGACGAAGACTTGATTTTCTGTAACTATGGCATCATTGCACTTGTAAATGCATCTATGGGAGAAGTTCCCATTAGTCTTATGTGCCTGTCAAACTTGGTAGTGGGCCGTCGCCCCTCATCTACCATGATGAGCAAAGGTACACTGTAGTGCGTAAATATCCAAACTGCTAGAGAAATAGATCATGTCCTGGTAGATAGAACGTGGAACCTCCACTATCGGATTACTCGACTCGTTTAGTTACGAGCCATGCACTGTCTGAACGATAGACGCGTCAGTTGTTAATCACCGAGTAATGTAAGCGACAAGTGGTAGAGACGATCTGTCAAGTGAAGGAGTAGTCATTCTTTGGTGACTCAAGTCATTGACAGAATACTTTTCAGTCATACGAGGAATTGAGACACGTTTAGGATAGAGTAGATAAGTGGAACACAGTTTGGTGGATGGGGACTTCTATAAGACCAACCTTTTTTTTTGCAGCAGATTTTAATTGTGTATGCAGCTATCTAGCTATGACACAATATCAAAGAAAACTACAGAATAGATGATTCAACGTGAGGGAAGAGCACTCATGCCTCGGATTTCATTTGCAAGTACCACTGCAAAGTTATGGCGGCTTTTTCTTCACCCCAAGTCAACCCTCATCCGCGAATACCCACCCAGGGGAACGTCTCAAAAATCCTGAGTTATCCAAGCATGCCTCCATCATCTTTCAACTTTTCTCCGCGCGAAATATGGTCTGAGATGTCTCCTTCCCAAGTGGAGTAGGTGCCCAGGCTACCCAGACTATACCAGAGAACACCACCAGGAGGCGGATCACAACACCTTCCATCGTTTGCTTGTGTTTATAGTGTCGCCTGCACTCTCGCAAGCGAATTCTTGGCGCGCACAAAGCCCGATTCGTAAAACTACTTGCCAAAATTCGGAATCTCACGCCCTTCGAGAATGTATCCCTCTTCTGCATCATCTTTTCAACTTGTCCTGATCCCTCTCACGTCCATCCCAAAGAACTGTCTCCCAGATTTGTGCGCCACGCTTTGCTTCCTCTGCAGGGTATAAATATTGGCGTGAGCGTGTATTTAGTGGTCAACTAAGGCCAGAGAAGGTCGAAGAGTGGTGTGGTCATTGGGATGAGGATGTACTTGGTCGTACTTGAAGACTTGATGAGGCTTAGGTATGAATCGGACTCTTTGGGAGTGAAAGGTTGATATGGTGGAGTATTTTGAATCGTTGCCTCGCGGACGAACTTCTTTGATATTGCGAAATTTGACTGAACTTGGCTCTGAGAGAATATTTTACCCCCAGGTTCGTAGAGGACACCGCGTACAGGTGTTCAGTCTTGCCCTCCTAAGACCCAACTCATATCACTACTGTGGGACATCAATTCAATCCTGATCCAGCTACGCCTTACATTGGTTGTGCAGTGTCTCTTATCAAGTTAAACCTGTGATCAGAGTACGTATATTTTAATACAAATGTATGTGCGACAGGAGGCGCAACTAGCGCCATCGGGACATTTGTAGAGAGGGTCGATCTTGTTGGAAACCTCAGACGAAACAGATATGAATGAGTCTTAAATGCAAGAATCAGAATTTCCACCACATTCCTGACTTGTATGAAGTGGCTCAAGAAAGCGGACTTTCGGAAAACGCGCTGATTAACCACTTTTTCGACTCCCTTCACCTAGCAATCGTAGCTCAAATTCAGATCCGGACAATGATACACCAACTAATGCACAAAGATCTTACCTCATATGGGGACTATTCTCAACACCTGTCAGTGGTGCCCCCTAAGAACCTCCAGCTCTCACGGTAGAGTCTGCAGAGCCGAGATTGAGTAACAAATTCCTCACTTCGACGAGGATTCCCAATCGCTCTCGCCGTCTGTATCGTTGTCGGTAAAAGGATCATAATTGGGCAGTATGAATTGTTCTATGTAGTTGCGTTATTCAGATTGTCGTTAGGACACTGACAGGGGTCTGATTTGGCTCATTAGCGAGGCGCTTGGAGCAGAGGGAGAAAGGGGAGATGGAGAGGAAGAAGAGAGAGACAACGTTTTATGTATTTCGAGATACCTGTTAATTGACATTATTCACCGACTTCGTGACGGACAGCTGACTTCGTGACGGCACCCAATTTGTATTACTTCGTGTTTTACCAACAATCGTCTTCATCTCTCTGCACATTCCCCTATCACCACTACCATGAAGCTAACCCCGATCAGATCAGACAGTAGGGCTGGAGTCCTATTTATCACTAACACTTGATCATGGAGGAAAAGCCATCCGATGAGTTTCCGGAGCGCACCCAGCGCCCGATACGCAGATGGTGAATTGGATCAATTCGGCCTCGCCTGGCTGGGGCTGCAGGTCTTTTGGGACTTTTTCCCGCGCACGCAGTTTCCATTGCTACCATTTTTATTTTTTTTGGGTAGAAGGTTCCGTGGAAAAGGTGGCTGGATTCCACGGGTAAACACTCACCTGAATCGCTTCTCATCACGGGCAATATATCAATGATCTTACAAGTAACAAAGGAGGCATGGAGCACTGTACAAGGTGTGGCCTGGGCCAGAAAGGAGCCCAATGTGCTAGACAGTCATTGACTGAAGTGGTACAATAAACATACAATCACAAGTCTTTATTAATATAAAATTGTTATTTTATTCCAACACAAGCTTTATCCTGTCTCGGACTTTATTAGTCTCTTTTGTCGCAACACTATTTTGGGATGTGCATGGGGCAGGAGAGATCCCAAGATGTTGATAGTTAGTCACGTGGATTGGTGCAGCTTGGCGTGTCGCCCTTAGGACTGACACTTTTTTTTTCCATCAGAGTTTAATTGCATATGCCAGGGACTGACACGCCAGTATCCAAGAAATAGAATAGAATAGAATCTTATTTATGTCCCTACTGAGTCTATGACTATGAAGGACATCCAAGAAATAGAAGAACATGAACAACCACATCATCGAGAGACCCATTGCGCACGCGTACGCGTGTATATTACCAACCGACATCTTTAATCATTTTATTGAAGGCCTACTCTACTTCTTTCTCGATTGTAACTTCGCCTGTATCTATGTACAAATCTTTCCATCTATGAAGTTTGGGAACTCTCCATCCCTTCAGCCTTGCTTGGTTTCTGCCCTACCCCTTATCGTAGAGGCCAAATAAATTAAGGATATATCATCATCACTGTAGCAATGCTTCGAACATCGTCAAATGCTCTAATTTTATACCGGCGGAATGTTTTATCTGTAGTTTGGAGGCGATTATTTGCAGCCCCCTCCGCCAGATAAGCGGTAAGAACGTCGTGGAATTTTTTCCGAGTATTAAACAGTCATCCTGTCTCAATCACTGCGATAAACCAGACTGCTCCAATTCCATTTGAAAGGCCAGGCTGGGTGATGTAAATCTGCACTATTCGACCACCTTCTTTGTTTTAAAGTAGCCTACTCTCTCGCAAACAAAGTCTTGGGTTGAAAACATCCCTCAACGTTGATTTCTCCTTGACAAAATCGGATATCTGAATCTTCCTAGACTAGATCCAATTTAAGCTTTACCCCTTAAACTCATAAACTCCCATTTAAAACTTTTCCACATGCTGGTCTCGCTAGAAATTACGCCACTGCTGAAGCCGCTTCAGTAGATTTCTATTTTACCGAGGCCGTTAAGATTGTGGATTAGAATAAAACGAAAATTGAGCCTAGAACGGGTATCGATGGAATCAAACCTTGTTAGTAACGACCAATTGAGGAGGACATCATTAAATATTGCTTTGTGCCCCAAATTCGATCGCAAGGCAAATTTTGAATAAAATCCGGCTCCGGTAATACATTTGACCCTCAAACTTATAGTATTCACCTTCGGAAGGTATTCAGGGTTTGCTTCCAAGAGTAACACAGCGATGCTTGACATTTGAAGATTGCGTGTGAAGGAGGTGTTTGTTACGTAATCCTGTATGTGTATACTCTCGCGAGACGCCTGTTCGGTTGAGCTAATGCAAAGCTAGCTAGCCGCGAGCGACGCAATATTTAGGATAGTTCAAACATGCCTAACTAAGTTCCATTTGGTAAGTCACAAAGTTAATCAAGCAGGCAGCAACTACCCAGAGGCGACTGCTTACCATGACATCGTCAATTCGAAAATATTTGTTCGGAGGTGATCGGTACGAAGCCAATTGTTTAAAAATTAGATTTACCAGCGAATGACTCGTGCATAGGCCATGGTCTCCACTTGACTGGACGGGTTCAGATGATACAGTTCGCGGGGGTATCTCTTACTCAAAGCTTATTTGCAGTGAAGATCAACGCGTAGCTGTATTCACAGGAAATCTCGATACCCAAACACTCGGAGGTGCGGGCTTTGCATCGCAACGTACAACCAGAAACTTCGGAGTACTGGATTTATCTGCCTATGCCGGAATTATTCTAGATATTCAGGAGACAGACCATAAGCAATACACCTTCATACTCAAGGACACGACTTTGCCGCCGAAGCTAGATGGTCGAGAACAAAGTAGCGCCGGCTGGGAATATAGTTTTTCTGCTTCAGAGCCGGGTGAGTCGGTGCAGGTTTTTTGGTCAGACTTCAAGCCTACCTATCGCGGCCGTGAAATGGAAGATGCGCCGCCGCTAAACATCTCTAATATTACATGTTGTAGCTTGATGATGCGCAGGTAGTACTCTCACGAAGAGATCACGGTAGAATTAGCTAACTATAATAATCATAGTTTCTTTGGCACACAAGAAGGTCCATTTCGTTTAGGCTTAACTTCAATAGCCGCCTTTGGCGATACTAATACCCGCGACTCTGGGTCTTTTTCCGACTTCGATATGGAAAAAAGACAGGCGATTATTGATGAGAGAGTCCTTCAAAATACTGGAAGTGACAACAGCTGGTCAGGTATGATAGCCAAAATATTTTGCATAGGTTGAAAAGAAATATCTAAGTTTCTTTACTACTTCACGTAGCATCGATTATGGTGAAGACACTTACAGCTAGACTTTAAAACTAAGGTGAGTGATAACCGGAAGGAATTAAGTAACCAAGAAATTCGCTCACCCTAAATTAACGATTTCTCTGAGACATGGATTTATCCAAATGTAAATGTCAGAAATTGTAAATTATTATTTGAGACCTACACAAAGTCGTGGATGGAAAAAGTGGATTTTGAACAATACTGATTTTTTTTTAATTCATCTTATTATCCTGTCTGAGTCTATGACTGTGTGGGACATGCAGGTCCTCTCTGCCTACAGGCCAAGGATACCTATACCAGTAGTATATCCCCTTCTATGCCTCCCATACAGCTCCCCTCAAACAGTACCACCCCTCACAAGTCCTCATTCAATCATACACTAAGAGAAGCCCTTTGCCCTTCATTATCTCCCCTCTCCAGCCAACGAAACGATGGCCATTTGCGGGTGTATGGCAGCCGGGAAATATCGCAAAAACCACTAGGTGCGGGGCTCTCCTAATACTGACATTAGGACTGAATCCAAAAACATATTGCCCCTTCTGAAGCGTTCGAAGAGGCCGGCCAACTGGCCGCTGCAGACTTGTGGGTACCTCGGGAAATTCACCCTCTGCCTTTTTAGTCTCCTTGCAACTCCTTCCCGAAGGTCGTGCTGAAATGTCAGAAAAGTCTTGACAGAGCGTGATTGCTATATAGTAGCTTAGCCCAACTTCTCTTGTGCCGTCCAGGGCGCTGGGGGAGTGCCGTTGACTCATCGACAAAAGAAGCCCTCCTGGCTAATTAGCCGAAATCTTAGTCTTGGCGCCCACAAATAGTCCAAAACTGAAAACTCCTCGAAAATGTCAGTTCAAGCATGGTCTTCAAAGACCTGTTCCCCCTCTCGCTCCACATCTCAGCCGCCTGTCTTCCTCAAGATGTATAATCCCATTAGAGCATCAGTCCCCCATAAACCAAGACTCCAACTTTGTATTTAATGACTTAATTTCCTTCTTGCGGGTATACGTAGCGTCGTAAGTTTGTAGTGAAAGATGGCCGGTGATGAATGAGGCAAGCTCCTGTTTGCAATTAGGGTGACGCCTTTATCGGTCGGCGAGGCGAGATGATGTGTGGTTAGAAAGAGGTTGAGGACTCAGAAGATAATGATGAGTGCTGCATGGTTGAGAATTCGCCAAATGGAGATATGCATGTGTTTGCTTTCGACTTCGATTCGGATGCGATTCTTCTTGGCTATCCCAGATATGCAGAGCATATTGAGCGATTACACCGGCACCACTGGAAGGTGAAGAATTCGTCTTTGCCGGCAGGAAAATTGAATTAAATATTACAGTGTATCTGGGATATAAAATGTCAACTTCGAAACTGGGCTGTTTAAGGGATTAGCCCTGTAGGCGCAGTTGGGCTAGCGCGTAATAGGTTAGTATATCTATCCTCCTTACCCCGCTCGCCATGATGTATGGTCCAATCGTATTCTTCGAACAATCGCTTAGAGAAACACATGTTCATCGGTATTTTTGGCTTACTACCCTGCACAATCCTTGAATCTTAATATCACTATCAATTCATTCTCTATTATAGCAAACATTGTCTCTCGAAAAGTCTGCTTCAGAAAATAAAGTTCTTAGGCATTTAACTCGCGATCAATGTATTGAAATAAGAACATTAAGAAGACTTGGCTCGACATTTAGACACATATCTGACGAACTTTGCTTCACAAGAAGGCAAGTGCAATTTGCGTGTGCTCAAGAGACTAAGACTCCTATGCCTCGCAAAGGACTCTCACCAAAATTAAGCGCGGAACAAGTTGATGAGCTTGAGGCTTTCGTCCGGGAATCTCCTGAAAATCAACAGATGTGCTATTCGGAACTAGCAATGGGACCCCTCAGCCACTGTGGATGCAATGAGCATTAACTTTCAAATGCCCTCAATAAAATGGGTTGCAGCATATGCATTGCTCGGAAGAAGCCTCTGTTAAGTGTGGTCAACATGCACGAAAGATATGTAGCGGTGATAAAGGAAAATGGAGGGTACACAAAGTATTGGGACGGAGCAGACTAAAACAAAACATGTAGTACGCTTTCAACCTAGTTGCGAGCTATACTGAGGGCTTCGATGTGTACTTTTGTAATACAAAGCAATTTTTTTTTAAATAGATGTGTATTTGTAGATAACAAATCACGAGAAGAGGAAGTGGCAGGTAGGCGGCTCCAGTGTAGAGATGAAAGAAGTAGATTGGCTATGGGGAGAGAGTAACAAGAGGCGGACAGGGACTATATCCTAACGTGCACGTACCACAAGTACTCACGCTATTGTACCTAGGGCCAGGTTGAGGCGAGGCCGTAACTTAATATCAATTGTTTTATTTTTTTTTTATTTTTAAATGAGGACCACTGCACATTTGTTTTGGCGTTGAAAACCATCCCCATTATTTTTGACTTTCACGGAATATCGTTGGATAGTACCCCTGCTTGCAAAACTAGTCGACGAGCTAGACATGGGCCTGCTTGAAGGCTAAACCAATATAATCAATAGGCACAGGGATCTAACCCCTATCATTTAAAAAATTGTACTTTTGATACCCTTAAGAGACTGTATATATATCAGCCAGATGAGGTGCATCTACCCATTTGTATCTCCCTCGCAGTGAAAGAAGCTAGCTTGATCCTATCCTCCACCGCTTATGGGGAGCTGGGTAAGCTCAGGAAGCAAATCATGTAGCAGAAGCTACATGACTAAGAAAACTACAAGATAATGGTAATTAGGGCTGTGGATCCCCATTGATGGAAACCCTATTGTCCACATTGTGCACTATTGATTGGCTCAACTGGTGCGGGGGGAATATTTAAAGAAGTTTGCTCGTGAGGCAATTAATAAAGGTACACCCCACCATGTCAAATTTTCACTCCCACCGACATCGATCCCTACCGAAGCCTAAGCAATTCTACAATTACGACCTAGTACATCCACATTTCAATGACCGAATTTCTCGTCGACTCTATCTGGCCCCAGCCAGTCACTAAATATACGCCCACGACAAAACCAACGCCCGTAAGACGACTAAAATTGTGGCGCACAAATTTTGGGGTGAAGAATTTTGGGATGGACTCAGGAGAGATGAGGACAAGCAGACAGTATCATGCTAATGTTGGATATAATCTCGAAAGAGGTGTGGTTTTGAATTTTTGACAGAAGTTTTCCTAAGTGGGCTTTGTGCGCAGTACCACTTTGATTTCTAGAATGCAGGAGACATCGCCATCTTCAGTGTAGGAAGCACTGCGGCTCAAGCAGTAGAAACAGTTCAGTTCGAGGTCAACAATTTTGTCTTGCTAGCTAATGAGCACAAGATGAACTTTGATTCAGCTAAGTCGGAACTCCAAGCGATAGGAGGAGGACAAGAGAAAAGAGTAGACAGCACGGGACTCGGCATTCATATTAAGGGACAAAGCATTCATCCATCCCTATTTGTGAAATAGCTCGGAGTATGGCTAGACTCCCAACTCTCCTTTAAGTAGCATGTTCGAGAATGGTGCGGGAAAGCCCAACGTATGACCCAGTTTATACGTCGCATTAACATGGTACAACATGAGATCGAGCCGGGCCCAGTGATCAAAGTGTTGCAGTCTTGTGTCCTCAGCACGGCACTATATAGTCAGACCCTAGGGGACTATTCTCAACACCTGTCAGTGGTGTCCCCTTCGAACGTCCAGCTCTCACTGTAGAGTCTGCAGAGCCGAGATTGAGTAACAAATTCCTCACTTCGACGAGGATTCCCATTCGCTTTCGCGGTCTGTATCTTCTTCATCTCTCAACACATTCGCCTATCACCATTATCATGAAGCTAACCACGATCAGATCAGATCAGATGGTAGGGTCAGAGCCCTAGTCATCACCCACCCTTGATCACGGAGGAAAAGCCATCCGATGAGTTTCCGGAGCGTAGCCAGCACCCGATACGGAGATGGTGGATTGGATCAATTCGGCCTCGCCTAGCTGGGGCTGCAGGTCTTTTGGGACTTTTTCCCGCGCACGCAGTTTCCATTGCTACCATTTTTATTTTTTTTGGGTAGAAGGTTCCGTGGAAAAGGTGGCCGAATTCCATGGGTAAACACTGAGTTGAATGGCTATTCATCACGGACAATATATCAATGATCTTACAAGTAACAAAAGAGGCAGGGAGCACTGTACAAGGTGTGGCCTGAGTCAGAGAGGAGCCCGGCGTGCCAGAAAGAATAAGGCCTACGTGGTGTAATTAATTAAATCAAACACACTATTCCTCCTATTTACCAATTCAACGAAAATTCTCAAAATTCAACCCTACAATCATGGAGGATACCGACAGAAGGTGTTGAGCTTCCATCCTCCCGCGGTGAGTAATTATTCGAGCTTTACAGATTTTAGTCGTTCTATGAAGCGCTCAAATATATTTTATAATTATTTAACGTCGTGCTAGCTCACAACACAACCTTAAGGTCTCGTGTTGGCCAGCTCAGTCTACATAAACTACCCGACGTGTCGATACCTTTCAATAAGCCCGACATGTTATAAACGGGCCAAGGCCTACCCGCCATGCACCCCGAACTATCGAAAGAAGCCAAAAGTACTCTCGAGCTGAGACTTTTGTATTCTAATACAATAGAGAAGATAGTTATATACATGAAAGGAAAGTTATCCATCACCTAGACCAGAAGTCTTCTAAATTTAGCTCTAGCAAATACAGGCCAAGTGCATATAATTTGGGGTACTAGTTAGTCTTGTTGTTGCATGCTTCAAAAAAGCTCGTTTCATGAAGCCATTTACTAAAAGCTATGGCTCCTTCAGGTGAGCCTAGGATCCAGCGAATTCCTGTCGTTGGGTGTTTATTTCCGCTGCAAAGGCGGGAACGACTCCGATTGAATCTACAAAAGAAGAAGTGCTCAGGCGACTTTTCTAGCCCGCAAGTGCAGATTAGAAGAGCGTCCGAGGGTGAAGCGCTCAAAGTCAGCTAGCTAAGCGGGTACTTTGCCCATGGTCACGTGACGTGCTAAAGTTTTGTGAAAGAATATTGAATTTAATCAAGTTTACATATCAGAGTAGAAATCAAGTCAATTTACCAGATTTTCGGTCAAGATCACAGACAAAATGCATCAATTTACCGATTAGGTTGACATTTCTCAGCATGAAACTTGCATCTGTGTTTAGCCTAGTAAATAATAAAGTTGTGGATGATCCGTTTTATTAGCGAAGAGGAGTGCTAGCATACAACAGGGTCATATTTGCTAGAAGTTTCGTGCCTAGAGTGGCTCATCCTTGGCAGCCTTGGCTTCCCCATATTTCTTTAATCGGATGGCTTGTACAGCGATAAAGCCCGTCGTATCAACGGGAGAGAAAGAACCTATCTGGTCCATAGAACTCTCGCTTTCATTATACAGTTTCTCGGTATCAGAACTTCGTCCGAGCACTAGAAAGCTACCCTTGTAGACTCTGCAGCGCACCTGGCCATTGACATTTTTCTGACTAACGGCAATCGAGCCCTCAAGAAACTCACGTTCTGGAGAAAAGTATAATCCATTGTATAGAAGCTTCGAATAATTGACCGTGAGAAATTGATCGCGAAGCGCACGAACCTCTCGATCAAGAACCAGCCCTTCTAGGTCGATGTGGGCTGACCGTAGACAGGTGAAGCCAGGAGTTTCGTAACAGCCACGAGATTTTAACCCGATGAATCGATTTTCGACAATGTCAATTCTGCCAACCCCGTGACGACGAGCGATAGCATTCATCTCAACGAATAGATCAACGCTATCAGTAATTGTTTTTCCGTTTGTGATAAGCTTGCTTGGTAAACCTTTACTAAATACTAAGGTAAAGTCCTCTGGTGTATCCGGCGCTTTTAATGGATCTACCGTTAGCTTCCACATATCTTCTGGCGCTGTGACATCTGGATCTTCCAAAATTCCGGCCTCATAGCTGCAGTGAGCAATGTTTTCATCCATGCTCCAAGGTTTACTCTTTGTACTTGTCACAGGTATGCCTGCTTGCTCCGCGTAACTGAGAAGGTCATTGCGACCTGCGAAGCGGTCGAAAAATTCTGGTAAGCGCCATGGAGCAATTACTTTAATGGTTGGCTGAAGGGCATAGAAAGCAAGCTCGAAACGGACTTGATCGTTACCCTTACCAGTACAGCCATGCGAGACAGCAATGCAGCCTTCTTTTTGGGCTACACGAATCTGAGCTCGTGCAATAACGGGGCGAGCGAGTGAAGTCCCTACAGCAATTTTAGTTCGAAGTAAAAGTCTAAAGTTAGCATGAAATCTTACCCAAGAGGTAGACACTTTCGTATACAGCATTGCATTGGATTGCGGGAAAGCAAAGTTGCTCAATAAACTCTTGTCTTAAGTCTTCGACATAGCACGCACTGGCCCCGATCTTTTTAGCCTTGATTTTTGCAGCTTCGAAATCCTCTTTATGACTATTAGAAAATAGTTTCAAAATAATTTGATATAGATTACCTTCTTGTCCAACGTCGGCCATGAAACACACGACATCGTAACCCTTCTCGATCAACCATGCAAGGATACAAGAAGTATCAAGTCCACCAGAATAAGCAAGGCAAACCTTTTTATAATCCCAATTAGCTTATAAAGACTGAATTTTAAATGCATTTTAGAAATTTCAGCAAACATTGAACGCTTACTTTGTCTCTAGCCATGCTGCCACTGGAATAAAGTGGTTTTGAGGTTTCAATTGTGACGCAAGATTTTTTACCTTTTTGAATCTGAGTTAACTTCTTAAGTTTTAACTGTACAAATGATGAAATAATAAGTCTAGTCTGGAAACTTCGTGTGGTTCAGTGCGTGTAAGACTTTTTGAGATTGAGGGTTGTTGCGATTTTAAGAGCGTCAGGGTTGGAATTGTCAGCTTTGGTAAAATGATGGACCATGCCAATTTGATAGGACCAAGCATGCTGGGGATAACACTAGTTAGTTACGCCATATCTATATTCGTAAATCTACATGCTGGGCTACTACTTTCAGTCTACATATAATTAGAGCTATCTTGATGAGAATTTTGTTCATGTTTCAAAATCTGGTACTGAATACCTGTAAACCAGCCTGCAAAGACGAATTCTTCACCTTCCAGTGGTGCCAGTGTAATCGCTCAGTATGCTCTGCATATCTGGGATAGCCAAGAAGAATCGCATCCGAATCGAAGTCGAAAGCAAACACATGCATATCTCCATTTGACGACTTCTCAACCATGCAGCACTCATCATTATCTTCTGAGTCCTCAACCTCCATCTAGCCATATATCATCTCGCCTCGCCGACCGATAAAGGCGTCACCCTAATTGCAAACAGGAGCTTGCCTCATTCATCACCGGCCATCTTTCACTACAAACTTACGACGCTACGTATACCCGCAAGAAGGAAATTAAGTCATTAAATACAAAGTTGGAGTCTTGGTTTATGGGGGACTGCTGCTCTAATGGGGTTATACATCTTGAGGAAGACAGGCGGCTGAGATGTGGAGCGAGAGGGGGAACAGGTCTTTGAAGACCATGCTGGGACTGACATATTTGAGGAGTTTTCAACTTTGGATTTTGTGTGGGCGCCAAGACTAAGATTTCGGCTAATTAGCCAGGAGGGCTTCTTTTGTCGATGAGTCAACGGCACTCCCCAACGCCCTGGACGGCACAAGAGAAGTTGGGCTAAGCTACTATATAGCAATCACGCTCTGTCAAGACTTTTCTGACATTTCAGCACGACCTTCGGGAAGGAGTTGGAAGGAGGCTAGAAAGGCAGAGGGTGAATTTCCTGAGGTACCCACAAGTCTGCAGCGGCCAGTTGGCCGGCCTCTTCGAACGCTTCAGAAGGGGCAATATGTCTTTGGATTCAGTCCTAATGTCGGTATTAGAAGAGCCCCGCACCTAGTGGTTTTTGCGATATTTCCTGGCTGCCATACACCCGCAAATGGCCATCGTTTCGTTGGCTGGAGAGGGGAGATAATAAAGGGCAAAGGGCTTCTCTTAGTGTATGATTGAATGAGGACTTGTGAGGGGTGGTACTGTTTGAGGGGAGCTGTATGGGAGGCATAGAAGGGGATATACTACTGGTATAGGTATCCTTGGCCTGTAGGCAGAGAGGACCTGCATGTCCCACACAGTCATAGAGTCAGACAGGACGATAAAATAAAATTATATCAACGATATCCTGATTTTCAGTTTTCCTAACCCTTGGGAATACAGCTGTATGAATACCTATGTCAAGTGGTCATCATTTAATAAAACAAGCTAGGCTTATTTGGTCAAGGAATGTGAATAGCAGATGTATAGGACATTTAAGTTTGTAGATAGCTTTAATAATCTGTTAATATAAGAATGGGTCATGTCACAATAATCATATGTGTAGTCAACCTAATTTGTCAAGGAACAAAATATAGTTCAATCACCCTTGAACCTTACTATGGAGATCTGCAGTGTCATTTCCCGAAAGATTCTTGATGTGAGTAATACTCTTCTTTATTACCAGTCTCTAGTGATGGTTTTACAAAAAAATCCTCAGTAACAGAATTGAAAATTTCGTAGAAAAGAAATGTGACTGATGATTAGAAAGTTTTCATCCTGTCGCGGAAAGAGACTAGCTAATGAAGCAAATAAAGTGTTTGACATCCACCCAGACAAGGATGTGCTACGCCAGTACACCGGCACTTTCTATTGCATTTTGGTTGGTGACTTTTAATTTTCCAAACAAGAGAAACGGTACAATTAATGAGGTAAAGTTCATCGTGTCCGCTACTTCAGATACAGTACAGAACGATGTGTTAATAGGGGTAGTTTGGCTCTATTCTTCTTCGTTGCTTACTTCTTCTGGATACTCTTCCTCACCCTCCGATATAGAAGCTTCTTGGTATTGTTGATACTCCGAGACAAGATCGTTCATATTAGATTCTGCCTCAGTAAACTCCATTTCATCCATTCCTTCGCCAGTGTACCAATGCAGAAATGCCTTTCTCCGGAACATGGCCGTGAATTGATCTCCGACACGTTTGAAGAGCTCTTGTATGGAAGTCGAGTTTCCGACGAATGTTGAAGACATTTTTAGGCCACGAGGCGGGATAGAACACAGGGCAGTTTGAACATTGTTTGGAATCCACTCAACAAAGTAGGATACGTTCTTTTGCTGAACATTTCGCATCTGATCTTCTACTTCTTTCATGGATACCTTACCGCGGCTGAGATATATTAGTATGGAGCATGCGTATAAAACGTGCAGACTTACAAAATAGCAGAGCATGTCAAGTAACGACCGTTTCGGAAGTCGGAGGCTGCCATCATGTTCTTCGGATCAAACATCTGCTGAGTTAACTCAGGAACGGTTACGGCACGGAAAGAGTGCGCTCCGCGGCTAGTAAGGGGCGCAAATCCAACCATGAAGAAATGAAGACGCGGGAAAGGAACCATGTTAACTGCCAATTTGCGCAAATCAGAGTTTAGCTGACCAGGGAATCGAAGACAGGTAGTTACACCTGACATTACGGCAGACACCAAGTGATTGAGATCACCGTATGAAGGGTTAGAAAGCTTTAACGTCCTCATACAGATATCGTAAAGAGCCTCATTGTCGATACAGAACGTCTCGTCGGAGTTTTCAACCAGCTGATGGACTGAAAGAGTTGCGTTGTATGGCTCAACAACAGTGTCTGAAACCTTTGGGGATGGCACAACCGAGAAGGTTGCCATCATTCGATCAGGAAATTCTTCCCGGATTTTTGAAATTAATAATGTACCCATACCGGCACCTGTACCACCCCCAAGAGAATGTGTTATTTGGAATCCCTGAAGACAGTCACATCCCTCTGCTTCTCTTCGCACCACATCTAGTACTTGGTCGACAAGCTCCGCTCCCTCAGTATAGTGACCTTTTGCCCAATTATTTCCTGCTCCAGATTGTCCGAAAACAAAGTTGTCTGGTCTGAATAGCTGGCCAAAAGGACCAGCTCGTACAGCATCCATGGTACCTGGCTCTAAATCGACGAGAACAGCACGAGGAACATACTTGTTGCCAGAAGCCTTTAGAGGGTTAGCTATAACGTCTCCTTTGAGAGATTCATCAGACCTCGTTAAAGTATACGTTCATCCTCTCAAGTTGTAAATCTGATGTACCATTATAGCTAATAGAGTCATTATAATTTGTTGATGGTTGCGGATACCTCGTTTTGCGAGGGAACTTACACTCCTGAACCATCGAGTCCATGTTCACCAGAAATTGTTTGCCCTGTAAAGTGGGTGTGAGCGAGATGAGACAGAAGCTTTAGATTTTACGAACAGAACGCGGCACCGATTTGGTTTCCCTGAATATCTATTAGTGGAGTTACAAGGGAAACTAAATATTAACGTACGCATTGACCGGTCTGTAAGTGGACCTAAATTATCGTTAGCGATTTCAAGAGTAGCCGTGATGGCATAAGACTAACAATTTCACGCATAGTGGCTGATGAAAGATAGGCGGTAGAGGATGAAAGGCGTGATAGTGTAGGTGCGATTCCGGAGGATAGTTGGGATGTGGAAACTGAGAATTTGGCGCAGCGAGAAGGTAATTGCGTTGTGACGGTGGACCTGGCTCACACTAAACCGTTGCTGCGCTAGTTCCGATCACGGGACTGCTGACATACCATCTTGGCACTGAAAAGCGCAGATCGGTCTCCGTATCCGTGATGTCTCACAACGGCAATAATATTCAAAATTAGAACACAAAGACTCAACACTTGTCAGCGATACTTCTTACGATCCTCTAGGTCCTGCCACAATGACTTCAGAGCTAAGGTGGACTCTCGAATATCTGGGAAGACTTCTATTCTCAATAGTTCAACAGCACTCCTCATTACCCAAGGCGGTTGGAAGAAGCTGGGCTATGCTACTCCACAGAAAATGAACTCCTCCAAGTCTCTTCTTGTATTTAAGGACGTCCTTCAGAAATGGGTTGGAAGGAGGCTAGAAAGGCAGAGATTGAATTTCCCTGGGTGCACAATAGTCTGCTGCACCTAGCTGGTCGATCTCTTCAAACGCTTCAGATGGGTTACTATTTCTTCGGACTTATTCATAATTTCGATATCAGAAGAGCCCTACAGTCAGTGGTTTTGCGGTTTTTACCTGCTACCATACACCCGCAAACAGCCATCGTTTCGTTGGCTGGAGAGAGGAGATAATGAAGGTAGAAGTGCTCTAAGTATATTATCAAATGAGGATTTCTGAAGGGTGGTATGGGATATACTACTGTGACAGGCATCCTTGACCTGTAGGCAGAGAAGATCTACAAGTCATATATACACTAATACTGAGAAAGGACAGTGATGTACAGGGAAATTTCAAACAAAACTACAAAATTAATCACACATTTTGCAACTAGCGATTGTAAAGGAACACTTCAACTTTTCTAATCATATATTTTGGAATTATAGTTTATACTTTATCTAGAAAATATCTTTCATCAAAAGTAAGAGACGATAACAGTAAGAATTTCTTATCTCATTCTTAAATCAGGTTAGTACTAAATATCCCCATCCGTTGGGTAATTGAAAATCAGGGTATTTACTGCGGGCATGAAGGTCCCAGTGAGGAAATAGTCTCAAGATGAGAAGAAATCGAGAGGTAAGACTTGCAATTCTTATTCTAGGCCCCCAGCCACATCAATGCGAAAGATGAAAAATATCACGATCGAATTGGATTAATTACCTGGGGTTTGAATTGAATCAATATTATTTGACGTCCTGTTGGTTAGGCCGTGTCACGGTATCTTATCAAATAACCATGCACGTTGGGATAAAAGATGTTCATGTTTTTGTCAACTCCATTTATCACAGTGATACACATATAAAATTACACAAGGCTGAACATTCAGCCATGTACCCTTAAATCGTGCCAAGACTTCATTACAATGTCACTTCAACTCGAGATACTAATTCTGCTAAATGATTGAGGGGTGACATATATAATGACAAACAAGGCGTCCCTTTCGGTTTCCATTTACGGAACCGCACAGACGGGAAGGTGCTTGGATATGGTAAAATGCTTCAAAGTATACAAAACTCGACATTCTGCCAATCTGAAACGGTCTAATTGCATGCCTAGAACGTTTTTTAAAGCCGTTACTTTAGACCCATTCCAGAAATATTGTTCAATCCCATTTCGATTGGACAAGAATTTTGTAGAGTTGAAGAAGGGAGGTGCCTCCTCATACTGCCCATATCTTTGGAGTGATCGAAGTTTTGGCTCTGTTGTGCGCACTTCTAATATTGCAGTTATTGGTAACACTTGAGCTACGAGCTTCTTTGGTGTATGTCCTGGCCCGATGTTTAGTCGGTCAGCCTTCTCTCTGGTAACCAAGGTAGATCTCTGATTATCAGTCATTTTGACTATTCGCTTTGATGCCGTAACTGGTTCTTTCAACCTTCTGCTCATCACTAGATAGAAGCTCCATCCGAGTTTTCTCCACACTCCCCTTGTAAACCTGGTAGATCCGGCAAGCTCCTTCTTGCTACAAGCCATGCTCCCTGCTGCAGTTAGTGTAGGAAAACCTTCCCCTCGGATAGTCCCGAGTTTATAGTGCATCGGCGCGCTAGCCACATATGGCTGTCTCCACCGGCTACAATTATAAGACTGCTTTGAGGAGAGAGGAAGAAAGAGATAAGATTATTTTAATACTTGAGTCACGACTATCTAGCACGTTGAGCCTTTCTCTGACCCAAACCACAACCTATTCAGTACTCCTCGCCTTTTCTGTTGCTTGAAAGATCATTGATATACTGCCCGTGACGAATAGCAATTCAGCTCAGTGTTTACCCATGGAATTCAGCCATCTTTTCCACGGAACCTTTTTTTTTTTAATCATTTAATGTGTATTCAGCTATCTAGCTATGACACATGACCGGCGCTGTGTAAACATGTGGGATGACTCTTTTGACGTTAGAGACACTCATACTCTGGATTTCATTTGCAAATACCACTATGAGGTATGTTCGCTTACACAAACAGTCGACCCTCCTCCGTTAGTACCCACCAAAGGAAATTTAAAAACCTTTGATTATCCAAGCATGCCTTCGTCATCCATGCATACCAGCGCCGCGAGAAAAGTGGTTGTGTTTAGCCAGATTTGAACCAGCGATCTACTGTCTCAAGTGGGATATGAGTCCAAGCTATCCAGACTCTAGCCGGCAAAGACGAATTCTTCACCTTCCAGTGGTGCCGGTGTAATCGCTCAGTATGCTCTGCATATCTGGGATAGCCAAGAAGAATCGCATCCGAATCGAAGTCGAAAGCAAACACATGCATATCTCCATTTGACGACTTCTCAACCATGCAGCACTCATCATTATCTTCTGAGTCCTCAACCTCCATCTAGCCATATATCATCTCGCCTCGCCGACCGATAAAGGCGTCACCCTAATTGCAAACAGGAGCTTGCCTCATTCATCACCGGCCATCTTTCACTACAAACTTACGACGCTACGTATACCCGCAAGAAGGAAATTAAGTCATTAAATACAAAGTTGGAGTCTTGGTTTATGGGGGACTGCTGCTATAATGGGGTTATACATCTTGAGGAAGACAGGCGGCTGAGATGTGGAGCGAGAGGGGGAACAGGTCTTTGAAGACCATGCTGGGACTGACATATTTGAGGAGTTTTCAACTTTGGATTTTGTGTGGGCGCCAAGACTAAGATTTCGGCTAATTAGCCAGGAGGGCTTCTTTTGTCGATGAGTCAACGGCACTCCCCCAGCGCCCTGGACGGCACAAGAGAAGTTGGGCTAAGCTACTATATAGCAATCACGCTCTGTCAAGACTTTTCTGACATTTCAGCACGACCTTCGGGAAGGAGTTGGAAGGAGGCTAGAAAGGCAGAGGGTGAATTTCCTGAGGTACCCACAAGTCTGCAGTGGCCAGTTGGCCGGCCTCTTCGAACGCTTCAGAAGGGGCAATATGTCTTTGGATTCAGTCCTAATATCGGTATTAGAAGAGCCCCGCACCTAGTGGTTTTTGCGATATTTCCTGGCTGCCATACACCCGCAAATGGCCATCGTTTCGTTGGCTGGAGAGGGGAGATAATAAAGGGCAAAGGGCTTCTCTTAGTGTATGATTGAATGAGGACTTGTGAGGGGTGGTACTGTTTGAGGGGAGCTGTATGGGAGGCATAGAAGGGGATATACTACTGGTATAGGTATCCTTGGCCTGTAGGCAGAGAGGACCTGCATGTCCCACATAGTCATAGACTCAGACAGGACAATAAAATGAATTATAAATTATATCCAGACTCTACTTGGCAGACCGGCCAAGAAGATGTACCACCGCACCATCCAACCATGGCAGTTTTTATAGTGTCGCCGGCACTCTCGCAGCCGAAGACTTGGCACGCACAGATCTCAATTTGTAAAAACTCCTTGCCAAAATTCGAAATTCCACGCCCGTTGAGACAGTATCCATCCTTTGCATCATCTTATCAACTTGTTCTGATCCATCTCACATTCATCCCAAGGAATTGTCTTCTTGATTTGTGCGCCACGCTTTGCTTCCTCCGTCGGGTGTAAATATCGGCGTGGGCGTGTATCTGGCGACCAGCTAAGGCCAGAGAAAGTCGAAAAGAGGTATGGTCATTGGAATGAGGATGTACTAGGTCGTACTTGTAAACTTGATGAGGCTTAGGTAGGAATCGATTTCGTTGGGAGTGAAAGATTGATATGGTGGAGTATTTTGAATCATTGCCTCGTGGGCCAACTTGTTCGGTATTGCGAATTTTGACTGAACTTGGCTCTGGGAGAATATTTCACTCCCAGGTTCGTAGAGGACACCGCGTACAGGTGTTCAGTCTTGCCCTCCTCCACGGAACCTTCTACCCCCCAAAAAAAAGGTAGCAATGGAAACTGCGTGCGCGGGAAAAAGTCTTGAAAAAACTGCAGGCCCAGCCAGGCGAGGCCTAGATACCGGGACCACATGAGGTGTGTGTGTGTTTTATTGTACTACTTGAGTCTATGACTATCTAGCACATTAGGCTCCTCTCTGACCCAGGCCACACCTTGTACAGTGCTCCTATCCTCTTTTGTTACTTGAAAGATCATTGATATATTCCCCTTGATGAATAGCCATTCAGCTCAGTATTTACCCGTGGAATTCAGCCACCTTTTCCACGGAACCTTCTACCCAAAAAAATAAAAATGGTAGCAATGGAAACTGCGTGCGAAGGAAAAAGATTCAAAAAACCTGCAGCCCCAGCCAGGCGAGGCCTAGACACCGGGACCACATGGGGTGCGCATATTCATCTATATCTCCCTTCTTTGTAACAGTCGAGGTCGACTTGATCCAATCCACCATCTCCGTATCGGGTGCTGGGTACGCTCCGGAAACTCATCGGATGGCTTTTCCTCCGTGATCAAGGGTTAGTGATGAGTAGAGCTCCGACCTTACCATCTGATCTGATCGTGGTTAGCTTCATGATAGTGGTGATAGGGGAATGTGTTGAGAGATGAAGACGATTGTTGGTAAAACACGAAGTAATACAAATTGGGTGCCGTCACGAAGTCGGTGAATA